GCTATAAATTTAATTTTGATGCAAAGTTACAGCTTAATTCTAATGCCCAGGGTGCGAGACAGTGGCTGCAGCGCGGCGAAGCATCATCATCATCTTGGCTAGCAATTGTATGACCAGCGGGCCTCTTCCTCCGTCCTCCGTCCGCCGTCTCCTCTTTTTTTCGAGTCCCGCCTCCATGGATTCCGAGGCATTTCACTTTTTCCCTCATCTTGTGCAAATTCTCCTCCGCCTCCCTACGTTTTTGTTTTTTTTTTTCGTGCCGCAAATGATGATCGATGTGCGCTTCGCATGTCTCCGCCATCTTCATTTAAATTGGCAAAATGCAAAATGGCAATCAATGTCTGCCCACCTTCACCTCCACCTCGAACTACTACTCCTCCTCCTCCTCGCTGTCTTGTCAACAGGTGATGCCAAAAAATATTTAGATAAATGTCAGGGCGACCGGCGAATGGGACAAAATTAATTAGGCTTCTAAATGGGCAACGCCTGCCACTCAGGCCGGCAAATGCTTCCTGATCCGACGCTCTTCTGCTCTGCTGCTTGGCTGCTCTGCTAAATCCCACGCTAATCACCTGGATTGGTGGCTCAGTGGCTCAGCGTCAGTCGTCGGCCATAATAAATGACCAGGCTAAGTCCCATACCCGATCCCCGATCCCCAATCCCCAATCCCCGATTCCCGATCCCCTCGTAACCCACTGTTCTGACGTCTCCATCTCACTTTCCCAGGGGAAAGCACTGAGAGAAAGTGTGTGTATATCTTGGACAAGGATAAGCTGGAGAAATAGGATTGGTTTGACCGAATCAAGAAAACCAACAATCTTGGAAATATTGTACAAATATAGCTAGACTAATATTATCATGATTATTTGATTAATTTGAATGTTTAAGGATCATTATAAGTATTTTTCGTATTTGCCCAGTGTATTCCTGTTCGTCCGCTTTTACTGCTGCTTTTGAAGGCGCTAATTAGCCACGTTGGCTGATTGTGTGTTGGTAATGGCTTTTTGGGCTTTTTGGCCGTTTTGTTTTCGGACAAACGGAATTGCTGCCACTCCGCGCCAGAGGTGTGAAGAGTGCCAAGGAAAGTGGCAACTGACGGAGGAGTGTTTAGGCCAACTCATGATGGACACCTGGAAGCGCTCGACTAGCGGAGATTGGACTGCCGACGCAGATGAGCAATGATCATGGGGATTTCTCGGCTTTATTAGCGCTAATGCCGTGAGTTCTGGCCGGGCGGAAAGTAGCTCTGAATTCTAGGAGTTATATGTAGCTTTAGGCCCTACTGAAATTATAATAAATTAAAACGGCTTTGGCTAATGATTCAACTTCTCAAAGGAACATACTCTTGAATATGTTAGGGAATGAATTAAAAAGAAGTGGTTTCATATTTCAATTCTATGTGTATGATTAAAAGTTATAAGTAATGGTTAATGATTTAATTCCGAGAAGATTGAATTCTTAATAGAAGGAATACAAAGTTCTTAGATGATCCTCTAATTATGTAATCACATGTTCCCTTCGGAATCCCCTCGGCAATGCTGATAATAACACAATCTGTTTCCCAGCCCATAAAATCCAGAGATCTAACACACCGTCCCTGCCCCCACCCCAATATAGAAGACAAGGGAATCCATCATTATATCTCCTCATTCTACGTCATTTGGTTAACCCATTCGCCTTGAAACTCTTCAACCTCTCCACTTCTCCCGCTGGCGATCAACAGCTTCCGGTTATAATGATCAAACGGGGCGAGATCCATTGACGACTTTTGGCCGGTGATTTTTTTTTTTTTCTTTCGAGCTCCCGTAAAAGTCAGAGGCACGAATCTAGTTGGGACAATCAATTTCTCATTGGAAGAAAGCTAACGGGTTAATGGCCATCTGTGGGCCATATCGGCGCCTCCATCACGAACCAAATAGTCCAACCAATGCTACAAAGTAATTAACAAGAAATTAAGTTGAATCAAGCAGCGGACTCAAATTAACAAGAGATTATTTGCACGACGGTGAAAGGTTATCCGCAGATGATACCTGTCGAAATTACACAAAGCTGGAAAATAAGTAAATGACAGAAAGTATACGACAAAGGATGGCCAAATCCTTGAATCCTTAACTTTGCTGTAATATAGAAACAACAAAAAAGAAAAAGTCCCAAAGCTCAGGAAGTCAATAACTAACGAGAAAGCTGGAAAATCTAAGCAATTTTCGTTGATCGAAAATGCAGAAGCCAGAACCAGAAGATCGGGATGATAGGAGGAATCAGAAAAGGTAGCTGAAGCCAAGAAGCCAAGAATTTCTGGTGGATGGCGCCCAAAATCGAGTGAGCGAGACAGTTGACACAACGGTGCTTTCCCGTATGTACACATGTCTGATTATGTTTGTTTGTGAGATGCAGTGTAAGGTGGAAAATTGGGGAAGGGGTACGGAAAACTAAGCGGAACCCAAAGAGCGCGACGAACCATTCTTCTATAGGTAATCCCATAGGATCATGATCAATTCGAAGTTTGTGGTACATGGCTAAAGACTGAGCAAAACTCTTAATAAATATAGGTCCATACTAAATTTTAATACCTATTTTTTTTTCCTTTAACTTTGTTAATTTTCCCTAGAGGTGCTCCCAATAGAGTTCCCAGGTTTTTGTTTATCGAACATATAAAATTCTGTTTATTGCTCAAAAAGTGTATACCCCATATCGATTTGACGGAAGTCTTGAGCTCTTACTTGTCTCATTTTAAGCGATTTCTTAACGCTTTCGCGCCGGCTGCTGCAGTTGCTTCTTCGACTCGATCTTATTCTTAGATTCTTACGACTTTGCTCTGCTCTGCAATTCGTTCCAATCTTAATTACGGTTGCCACTGTTGCAACAGTTGCAACCGCAGCAAACTGCAACTGCATCTCCACACCTCGGTGAAAAGCAATTCATTTTGCTGTTATGTCAAGCTTTGCTTGACGCACTTAAAGAAAATCGAGATCAATTTGAATGCGAATCCTAATTAAATGTTTTTACATCTCTGGCATACCTTAAACAAGTTGGTTTATTTATCTTTGGAACAGTATACCACTGCAAATACATTTTAGGGTTGCAATTAGGATTCCAATCGATCTTTTTCGGTGTGCAAATACTGATTCTGATATCGATTGATGTTGCTTTAATAAATTATGATTGGAAATGCAGCTGCACTAAAAGAGAGAGAGACAGCTCAGGAGGAGAATCAGGAAAGAATTCTCTGTTAGCCAACTCCTCGAGCTCTCTGTTAGCCATTTGCTGTTAGCCAAATGTTAGGCAACAACAGCATGGCAATGACCTGAGTGCGTGGAGCGACTTTGGTTAAGTTCTCATTGCTCATTGCTCACTATTCACTCATTGATACACAAAGAAAAACTGAAATGTCATATGATATTTGCATCAAATTGACAATCTATCTTTTTAAAAAACTACACTGTAATTCCTAATAAATTTTGGAATAAACTAATTCTTAAGCAAGCTTAATGGTTTAAAATCTCCACTTTTGAAACTACTAAGTGGTAAACAAAAATATCTAATTATGACCTTTCTTTTGTTTCAAATTTTTGTAAATGTAAAACTTACATTTCCTGTGAAACTGATGATACAATAATGGCATTGTTCTCAGTGATCTAACTACTCACTAACCCCGCCACGACTTACTTTAATGCTTATTTTCTTGGTTTCTCGCTTCCCCTAGTTGCTCCCCCTCGCCGCTCCCGCCCCTCCTCCTATGACACAGGCGACCGTTAATGTATAATGCAAATATGTGTTTCACATCGTCATTTCTCTTGACACCCCACACCCCGTCGTAATCCCCCTTTCACCGAGCGAGTTCAAATAAAGTGCCGCTTGGTTCCGTTCCATTCCGTTCCGCACTTTTGCCGGGCGATCAAAATTTGTCCATTACGACCCTGTTTTAACGGCCATGCAATGGTTTACTATGCGATATAATGGGGGATATATCAGGTGGCATTGCCAGAAAAAACTATCTGGGTGGCTAAATTAACAGCTTTATTGCCACTGGTGTGCACACTGGATAGCTGGAAACTCTTCAACGGAGAGAAACTGAACATTCGGGGGATCAGTGTAGGATTGGTGTTTTATTATCCTTGCTGCGGGGGAAATTCTTCACCTCAATGATTTTTCGACAGATACAGATCTTATTGACTAAGGCGATAACTATTTTGTGATTATTGCTTGTGTTGGGAGAAATCAATAACCTTTTTTTGATAACTGATCGTTTTTACTTTTAAACTTTATTTTATTGTGATATTAATAACTATTAAAAAAATTACAAATGTGTAAAAAAATTCTCGTTTTCATATGAATAAAATAAAACCTTTAGCTGTTTATCTGTTTGAGAGGTGCTTACTGTCCATGCAAATTGTTGTAACTCTGTTAACAGGTGCCGTTGCAAAAGAAGAAGGTCGCTCTGAGCGCAGCGCTCACTGTCTTTTCACCTCTCTTTCTCTCTCTTTCAAGTTCAATGCTACGGCCGTACCTCCCACCGCCCATAAACTTACAAGGCGACAGAGAAAGAGCGAGAGAGAGCGGCCTCGGAAGAGAGTTGTAATTTTGAAGAGCGCTTCTCTCAATGCCCTCTCTCGCTTCTTATACACCCAGAAAAACGCTTTAATTTGTTTATTTTAAATTATAAATAAAAAGACAAAATTCCAAAAGACAATTGGTTAACAGTTTTCTCCAAATAATTTAAGTTTTTAAAAGTAAAATTTGATCAACTCTGCTAACAGTCAGCAATTGCCCAAAATGTATAACAAATATTTCGCTGGGTGTACAATCGCTGGAGCGTGTGAGTGCGCTGGTGTGTGTGTGTGTGTGCGGTGGAAATGGGGCTTGTGCTGCTGCTGCTGCTTTCTCTGTCCGTTCTTTGCCGCTCTCCGGATCTTGGATTCGGACTTGGGTTCGAGTTTGGGCTTGGATAGTTCTTCTTCTTGGACGGATCGCTGGGAAAGGCATAAAAGTGGCGCTCGACCGCCAACAGCAGCCATTGCGCGTGATGCAATTGAAGTGCTAACACCTCGTACCGCTCGAGTTTTCAGCCAGCAGTTCATCGCCAATCACTATATCCACCAGCGGATTCAACAGCACCGTGGACAAATTCTTTGCCTCTTCTTTTTTTTTTTTTTGGTTCAATCGCGTGTGTGAAAAATCTCACTCCTTGCGGCTGCGATTTTGGCAAGTGAACACAACAAGTGAACAGCCACAAAAGATCAATACAAAACACAAAAACTGTGAAAGTGCAAAAATACACTGAAAAACACTTGCAAAAGGATTAAAGCAAAAGCCTTAAAAAATCGTGCAAAATATACCAATCAAAAGGTAAGCCCAGGACCTCGAAAAAAAACTTGCAAGTGATTTTTTTTATTCATTCATTTTTTTGTAATCAATGTGGACAAATCAAAATTGTGAGCCTAAGGACTACTCTTCCCATAGACAGACTTTTATCCTGTTTAAATAATCAATCATTATAATCTATAAAGAATTATCCTTCTGGTTGGACATGTTAAAAGCAAAACTAAATCCATTAATGAAAACAAAAACGGTTTCGACCAATAAAAGGATATTAAAAAAAAGTCCAAAATTTAAAGTATAAATGTCTATCTTAAATCAATAAATAAAATTATTTAAAATGCAATCACAACAATCCTCTACGCAGAAAGAGGAAAACCATTTTTAAGAAATTAACATTTCAAAAGTGTGTGCATCTCTTCTTCCATTTTATTTCCACTTCTTGTTCTTAGTTTCCATTACAATCATGATTGCCGCCTTTCTCGTCGTCAAAAGTGACACCTTTCTGAGTGAGTCGGTCTCTGTCCAGGAGGTCTTTTCTGTTTTTTTTTTTCTTTTCACTTCTATTTACTTGGCCAATTGTCACCTGCTCAAATTCCCCTTTCGTGCACCTTTTAGAACCCTTTTCCCCCACAGTAACGGCACAGAAACCGAAAGACTTAGGCAACGAACCTGAAAAAAGGAAAGACTTAGGCAACGAACTTGAAAAAGGAAAGACTTAGGCAACGAACTTGAAAAACGGAAAGACTTAGGAAACGAACTCGGGATTTCCTTAAAATTCGTGGTGCATTATTCATGTGCATGACCGATGAGAGTTGCGTTTTTAGAGCTTGCAAAGGCATAAAAACTTATAAACATTATCTCAATCGTTCAGTTTTCAAATTACTCTCCAATAGGTGAATTTAAAAAATTATGAAAATTAAAAGTTGCAAGTGCTAGTAACCTGTTAATGCTCTTTTCTCGCGTTTGGCTGTTGGTTGTTTCAGTTTTCTGCTAAAGTCATTAACGCAATTAACCGTTATTACCCAGCGGTATGGTCACCCAATTCATTAGGAAAGCATTTAGTGGCCAGTGTTCTTGTGCGTGTGCGCAGAAAAACTAAAGCAACGGTCTCGAGCATGAGAAACGCATTAAAAAAAACCACCGCCGAAGAACAAAAACAGAAACAGAAGAACATTGCGGTTAAAAATGTGAAGAAACCGAGAAAGATACCGGGGACAACACGAAAACCCAGCCCAAAGCCCAGTTTTAGGGAGGCCCCCAGATGGTGTGTCTGGCGTCTGGTTTAATGGGTTTCCCAGTAGCAAAACGAACTCGGTTCGAATGAAAACTTTATTGTTTTCAGCGCCCGGAAATAATGTAATAATCTTGCATAAAAACGACCTCGGCCACAGAGTGTGCGGGTTATACTTTTATAATCGAATCGTAAAATATTACGAAAAAAAAAGTGAGGAGCAGAGAAAACAAAACATGGCGCGCAGAGAGTCATTAAACGCGATTTGGGAAATGGAACCTGGAACCTGGAACCTGCAGGCGGAAAACTTCTGCACTTCGGGAAAGAAAAGCGGCTAACAAAGAACCCAAGTGCCGACCCCAAGGGGCAGGCATTAGCATTCCAACATCAATTAATGTCTTGCCGCGATGCAAATCAACGACAGCGCCATTAAACCAGCCATCGCAATCCATCAATTGAGGCAGAAAACATGGAAAAAAAAAAAATAGAGAAATAACATCGCATTTTCTCCTCATTAAAGACGGATTTCCACTTTAAACTCTCAACTTACTCGGCACATTTCTCTTTTCCAATGCGTGTTCAAAGTTGACCCAAAAAGAAAAGAAACAACAACAACAACAAAGAACCCAAAAGCAAAAAGATTTAACGTTAAACGCGAGCGTACGTTTTTGGCCCAGTTTAGACCAAAAGCGGAAATTGGTTGCGGGCGGCCGACTAATTTGAAATTCCAAATGAAACGAATGAATTCGCTCTGATTGAGATGAGCAGGGAAAAGCTCCCTCTGGCGGTCACTCCATCTGGGTCCGGTCTTCTCCCCCTTTTTGCTCTTCCCGTTTCTCTATTCTTCTATTTTTTTATTCCCCGTTTCTTCGGCCGGTTAAATTCTGGCACATCAAAGCACAGAAAATAAAACGGATTTAATTTTTTTTTGCGGATCCTAAACTTGGGTACTATCACAGCGCCCCCTGGCGGTGGCTGCAGCTGCTCTTCAAAATCCGTAAGAGTGTTCATCAATGTATTCATTTTATTGAGATTGGGAAGTATTTTAATTAGAAAAACTTTTTAAGCGAATATTGAAATTTATTCTTGGTTTTTAGCCTAGAACCTGTAAATGATAGGAAATCAAACTTGAAGATTCTCAAACTTTTTTTTTGATAACTTTATAATTGAATAAGACTTTTCTGTGACTTCCATTGATTGACTGTCGCTTGATTACCTAATGGACAGCCCTCTTCGTGTTCTCAGCCTCCCCTCATTAGCATTTCAGATTTCATTAGCTTGCCGCTTTGGTGGCCTTCTTTTTGGCTTGTGCCGCTTGGCTTGGCACAAATTCTCCTCTGCGCTCCCCTTTATTCTTTCTTCTTTTTTGGGTTGCCTATGTGGGTCAGTTTGGATTCAATTGGTGGCACCTGTTCGGCCCAGACGCATGACAACACACAATTGGAGTTGGGCGATTCGCCAGGCGAATGAGTAGAGCTCACCCACTCACTTAGCACCACTTGCGGGATTTCGAGGGTCTGTTGAAGAATGGTGAAGCCTGAGTTGATGAGTGATGAACAACGAGTGGCGAGTGAGGATCACATGAGTGACGAGTGATGATTGAAGTGCTTTCTGAGGAGAGGGGCTCATGGGTACTCAGACTGGCTCAAAGTCAGCGAAAAACAATCTCTTCAAGTGCAGAAATCTTTCCAAATTAAGGCTACTCACCGTTTAGGGGCTTAATCAAATTTTATTTCATAAAAATCAATCTAAGCTATCTAAGTCATAAAAGGAATCATTCTAAAAGAATTTGATCTCGAAAACCAACTGGCCTTGAAGCAAATGTCGGGGAATTGGAGGAAAGTTCTGCAGTCATCATTCTGCCTTTCTTTTTTTTTATTTTGGCAATAAAACAGAAATGGTTCCAAATCTAATTTGCTTCATTGTTTGGTCATTGTAAATATAAGCCAGATCATCATCGTGATTGGGTAGATTCTTGGGCAGCGATGATGATGATGATCTGGCACTTGTGTCGTCGTTCCAGCTGAAATCTTTTCGTTTTCTTTTGACGGAAACAAAACGAAAACACTGTGCTTGCTATAAAAGAAAAACACAAAACAACTGCCGAAGATCTCGCTGGAAGAATCTGTGCTATTCCAACGGTTGTTTTGTTTACAGCCCCGGCCAAACTTCCCCCATATTTGGTATTATAAGCCATATTAAACCGAAATGCTTCTTAGTTATGACTTATATAGCTATAGTTCTTTGCGGCGCGATGAGAGAGAGAGGGGAACGAAATGTGGGCCAAAGTTGTGTGTCGGATCTCTGTTTTTGGCTTTGGTCTCGGTATATTCGGTATATTGGCTTATGGTGTTTTTTTTTTGTCAAAGCACAATGACGCTGCCCAAACTTTCGTTCCCAATTAGGCCAAAAAATTATTCAATTTAATGGGTCGATATCAGTGAATGCTCAGTGAATGCACTTAAATGGTGAATAATCGGCGAATGAATGAATGTTCCAGATTGAAACGAATGCAAATTCATCTGACTAATTTGAATGGGTTATTGTTCCGGAGCAAATAGAATCACCTAAGGCGATTGAGTATTAATAAAAGACTTATAGAATGCATGAGATTCTTCTGAAAATCCTAACTGTTCGTAGACTTAATTAACCATCAGTAAATTGAGCTATCAATACAGGGATTAAATCATTCACATGTCCCGACATTAAATGCAAATCTTATGAATTAGCGTGTGTACCTCAGACCTCTTGAATTCCTGATCTTTTTTTGTTCTTGCTTGGGTTAAAAGAATTTAAGCTTTCCCATCAAATGAAATTAACATATTTTTCTTAGAATTTAATAGTTATATTTCGAACGAAAGGTATACATCATGGCACTTATAACTTTCACAAGCTTATCTACCTTGAGCACGAAATGCTGAGCTCATAATTACGGGCAATTAAAGCTGTCTGTTCTTCCTTTCTTTTTTTTTAATTGGTGTAAATTACCAAAAAATTCAAATTTGAATTCAAAATTGATTGATGGGGCGCTGAAAGAAAGGTCTTCTTCCCATCAGAAATCAGACGAAATCAACGAGCTGGTGAACGTGTGAAAGTGTTCCCATTTCATTTTCCTAAGTTCCGTGACCAGTGTCAATTTCAAGTTCTCGTTTCGACACATTCCAAATGCTTTTTTGTTTTTCGGTGCACTTGACGTGCTCGTGGGGAAAACGAGTTGGCCAAAGAAAAGACATGGGCTTTTCTTGGGTGCGTGAGTGCCGCCCATTAGGTTCATACACCTCGTTGTTCTTGGTGGCTCAGGTGGGCTGGACTGCTGGAGTTCACTGTACCTGGTTTAATGAGCACACACACAACAGAAAAGGGCTAATTACGAGCGTCATGCGTATGCAAATGGCAATTTGGGGGGAGGCAGGCAGGCAGGTAGGCAGGTGAAGCGAAGGTGGAAAGTGTGTTTTTGGAGTGTGCGAATGTTCTTTCTCTTGGCCAGAGAATGAGTCTCCTCGAACTCAATCTCCGCCGGAATCCGAAATCCGGAGCAAATCCAGCGAGGCGTTGCACTCTGCATTTGCATAGCAATGGCCATTTCATTTGAATGGGGAATGATTACTTACCTCTTTCATTCTTTTCTTTCTTTCTTCGCTTTCCCTAGCCGGTCGCGTTTGTGTCTTGAGTCTTTTGTTTTTTCCATATGGCTCTCCTCGGACTGGGGAAGACTTGCAATTCGGTCAAGTAATCATTTATTCTCCGCCTTAATTGCTGGCATGTTGCACTGTGCTGGCTTCGCCACTCGCTGTTATTTTAATTACTCAGCATGTTGCATGCAAATCTAAATCTCGTAGCTGGAAAAACTCTCAACTCGAGCGATTTTTAGCCTCAAATGGGTAATGGGTAATGGGTGTGGTGCGGTGCTATATGGTATGGTGCTATATGGCATGGTTAAGGGGGGGAGCTGTATATATCAATATGCCATTAGCTGGCGGGGTAAAAGCCGTGTATCTTTGTATCTGTGTATCTACCTACTAGTAGTTACCGTTACGCAGCAAGAAGATGCCACAGAAAAACATGTTTTCAAAGAACCAGAATCGGAGTTTCGGCATCTGAATGGGAACTGAAAACTGAACCGCGCTCGCCGCCTCAAATGGAATTTTCATTTTTCAACTTTTGCCATCGTAAAAGGCCAATATATATATGAGTAACCCTCCCCCCTCATCGGAAAGTGGCTTAAATTAAACGAAACGAGAAGAGAAAATAACAATAAAGGCCAGTAGAAAAAGAAGATGAAGTCGCTGCAGCACAAATCGATTGGAAACTCGTTTTCAACATCATTTGACTGGAAAGTGCATTTTCTGTTATTAATATATAAGAAAGAAAGAGATGCGATGGAGAGGCCCAGATATGTTATAATTAAGTGGCATTGTTTTCAGGTGGAGTGGAAGTGGAGTGCGATCCGTTAGAGAAAACACTTGGTCGAGTAAAAGATCCCAATCTGGAGGCGAACTTGAGGAGTGGAAATGCCGGAATTGGGATCATCTTGAGCTCACTTCACTTCACTCAAGATCTTTCAATAATATGTTGAAAGTCAAGTTTTTTTTTCGATTTTTTTTACTTCTTGAAACCAACCGACGAGGAAAACAATCTTCCTAATAAATTTGGTGCAGCGTCCATAAAATGGAAAACGGAGTACTTAAAGTGTTTATGAAGATGGTCAGAGAAAGTATTTTAAGAGTAGACAAAAAACTGTCAGAGGAGAGGAAATAAGAAGTGCAATATCTATTTGACTGACAGGTTTAGCAACCTCTTGGGCTTTTCTTCGAGCAAAGCTTATCAAAAACAATCACATTTCGCTTTAAGATATATCCCAATTGAATAATAAATTTTAATCAAGCCTTATCTAAACAGAAACAAATTTTTTGTATTTGCAGCTAAAGTCGCCGAGCAATCGCCAGGGAATCAGACAAGAAAATTTAAGCAGAAGAAGGTAAGCTAGACGGAAGACGGGAAACTCAGGTGGGAGATTGAAGTGAACTCCACTCAACTTGGGCTCGGTTCAGCTTGGACTTGTGCATTTTATGTCTTCCGCTGTAATTGCGATCACAAATCAAGGCAGGTGTTGAGTGGATTGGATCGGACAGAAGACAGAAGAGAGTTCAAGTTGCGGGAGATGGCAGAGAATGGCAAATGGCAAATGGCGAATGGCGAATGGCTTTCCACCCAATCCAATCTAAGTCTAATCATCATTGCGGCCTGCCTCTTTTCTTGCGGCTCTGTTTGTACGGTTGTCCAACTTCTATTTATAGGCGAGGTGCAGGAGGCAATCGCCTGGCAATAAGTCACTCAGACGAACCTCGTCCATCCATTTGTCCAGTTGTCCATTTGTCCGTTTGGCCGTTGCATCCATCTCGCGATCTCTCCATCTGCGATCTGCCTTAATGCGCACCCTCGACTCACCAGCGTCCTCACAATTATTTAGGTCTTTCTTTGCTAATTTAGGGATAGTTACGTGACACGACCATTCAATCGTACAAAGTAACGAAAGAGCTCAAGGGGTTATAGTATAAATACCTGTTTAAATGTTTGAATATAATGTTAAATCCCAGAAATCCTTAAGCGAAGTTACTTAACTTCGTGAGCCAATTGCTCTCCCATCTCCAGCAGACTCAAATTGTCCAGTGGCGGTGGCTTAGTGTAACTAATTGACGATCAACGCAAAACGCTTTGGCGGCATTTTACCGCCCAGCCACCAATTCCATCGCCATAGCCATCGCCATCGCCTCCCGTTTTCCGTTTGTCCGCCCGCCTGGTGACATTGAGTAATGCCCCAAGGTGGGAAAGGTGGTGCAGTGGTGCTGCTGCTGTGGTTCAAGACCGCGAGGTGCTGTGCTGGCTACTTTGACTTCTTTGAGCCGCCCTTTGACGACTCTTCGACAATTAAGTTGGCCACTGGGCTCACTGCTCACTGCGAAATGAAAATAAATGACAGCATTTTGAAGTAGGGAACAAAAGACAGGCTCCTGTAGGAAAACAAAGTGCGGCTACACAAAAAGAAACGATATTAGAATAATCTTTTATTTCAAGGTTAAAACTTTTATGCTGAACTGATAACTATTTTTGTATCTGAACATGGAAGATGTTAGTTAATGTTTCCTGTGTAAGAAGACAGTCGCGCTTGTCCCTCAAACTTATTATCTGGATGTGAATGCTGTTTGGGGACGGTGATGTGGATGTGGATGTGGATGTGGATGCCAGGATTTGATTCAGTTGGAAAGCCCAGCCGCACCTCTTTGCCGACGACTGTCATTGCAATTAATTTTGTCTTTGTCTATTCTTAATTCGCCATTTTCGCTGGGCTTGTCCGCTGGGCCTCCATCCGTATTCTCGGCTTCTCGGCGAAGAGGACTCTTTGCTTTTTCAACGAGGGCGTTACCACAAGTTCTCACATGCCTCGCCGATAATCGATAGTTATCGATGAATCTCTGTCGCGGCCTCGCTAAAGTTTTCGGTCATTGTCCATGGACTAATTAAGTTATGCACTTGGTTTTTCCCCACTCCACTCTTTTTTTTTGTTGCTTGCTAGCTATGAGGAAGTCTTCGTCTTTTGGATATATCTATCGCTTGTATCTCGAGAATGCCTTGGACTGAAGCCGAGGAACTTGGAGACTCAACCTCCGAGCTTATCAAGCCATGGGCATCGCAGTTTGGGGCTTTTCTGCGGTTTATTGGCCCATCTCCTCCTGCTTTTCGTGTTATCCATTTCGCTGGCGAGCGGAAGTTACCTTTTTTCCACACGAAAAATTTGAAAACTTGTTGCCGTAATTTGCTATTGCTTTCAGGCGATATCATAAATCGTTTACTACCGTCAGTTAAATCTGAATCAAATTTGGAAATACTTGTGCGGAAGAACCACGGGTAAAACTGTTTGAAAAGTGTGCCGTAAAAATCATATTCTTATGAAAACAGAAATGTACAAGGGGCATTGAAGATCACCTCCCAAGGATTCCACTTGTATGAACTAAACTCGATATCAATTAATTGAGTGGACTATTATTCCTCAGAACTCCGTCTCGATTCTTTTATACTCCTCATTCTCAATATCTTTTACCTTTTCAATTACATTTATCGACTGAATGCCCTGCTGGTAATCGCTTTTTATTCAGCAATCAAGTGGCAATTGTTAATTTATTGTTTGTGGGCAGCCGAGAGCGTTTTGTATTGATTCAGCTTGCCAATTATTGTGTAAATAAATTCCAAATTGCGTGCGGCAGTAACACAGCAACAGCAACAGCAGCAGCAACAAAAGTGTGCTCTTCATGAACTGCTGGCCAAGCTGGCAAAGCTGGCCAAAGCGATGTTGCCGCCGCCGTTGCCAAAGGCCATTCACATACATTTTTGTTCTTTATGGGCAATTTCCAGCCAGCAGAGAGCCAGCAGGAAAAGAAGTCGGGGGAAAAAATGAGCAGATCCAGAGCCAGCGGAGAAGCAAGGCTGAAAAGCAAGCCAGCCAACCTAACGGCAGCAAAATATCGGACGAAGGGGCAACAGAGCCGGGCATTGTGCACTACAAATTGTCACACAATGTTCCGGCTTGTGTTCCCAAAACCCCCTCTCTCTATGATATACCCCCTTTCTAAAAACCCCCAATGAGATAAGCCCAGCCTAATACGGACAAACAGCAAACAGCAGCAACATCAAAATCAACATCAGCACAGCAGCAACAGCAACAACAACAGCAACAACAACAGCAACAACAACAGCAACAACAACAGAAGAAAATAAAAAAAAACAGGCAGCTGAGCATGAAAGTAAAAGAAGTCGGAGAAAGAAAGAAAGAAGAAGAAAGAGGAGAAATCTGTTGATGGGGCGCTGATAAGGCAGATTATGAGAACTATTTTTGATTTACGGGGCCCACAACACCAAGAGTCTGCTTGGTCTGCTGCTGCTCTACGGTTTCACTTTGAACAGGGAAAAAATTAAGCTTACATGACTGACTTACAGAAAAGTTATAAATCATCTAAACAAGCCAAGGGAGCCACTCTAGGTCAGCAGTGGGAGGCATACACTTTACAAAAACACCGAGAATACTTTTAATTAATATTGTGGCATTTAGGCAGACAAAATACAAAAGGGAAGTTTTATTATAAATACGAGTCGTAAACATTTTGAAATGTTGATGCGCACGCAACATCTAAGAATAGCAAACCTATCAGCAAAAGTATTTTTCTCAAAAATGAAAAAAGAAACGAACAGAAGCAACGGTGGCTGGCAGCTTTCATTTGTTTGCTCAGTTTATGAAACTGAGCCGTGGTGAAGGTTTGCCAGGCACACAATACTCTCCATCTTGGACTGCCAACTTCATCTTCGTTCGCTGGCCAAAGGATCTTTGACTGACGTGACAGGCGGTTGGTTGGGGGCCAAAAGACAAAGATCCAGACGGGAGACATTCGATTAGCATTAAACCAAAGCAAAGAGAACCAAAGCGAATCGCATCGGGAATAGAGAGCCAGAGGATCCGCCGCAGAATTGGGAATACCAATGGCAATGGGATGGGGACTTGCTTTGCAGTCTTATGCAATTTCAGTTACTTAGGGCCCATCAGTCAATCAGCCCGACTGTCTGTCATCACTCTTTTTCCACTCGATGGCGGCGGCATGGGTTTTCTTCTCGTCTTGCGAGCTTCAGCCAGGCCAGTCATCCAGTCAGCCAGTCAGCAAGCATAGAAGATTTTTCCCCGGACTTGGCGTTAGTCAAATAGGGTTGACAGTCTGTTGGGTTCTTGTTTAATTGCCCAAAAAAGTGCCGGTACCATGAGCCTCTCAAGCTGTCGCTCGCCGTGACCCATTTCGAGGCCAGATTTCTGTGCAACGATTACCGGGAATCCGAGTTCGGTCCGGGATCTCAGATAGTGAGCCAAAAACGAAGCTGGCTAACAGAGGTACCCAGAAAACTATATATATAGTACATTAAAGAAAGGCACTTAAAAACCAAATCCAAATAAATATATATATGCAAAATATTATGAATAAATCCAAACAGGTATTGAACTACTTATTGAATGCAGTCAGATGTACAAGTCACTGCTTCTCGGCTAATGGAACAATCTTGAATTCAAGCAGATGACAGTACCGGAAGGAAAAACCAGAAATCTAGCTGTTCTTTTCAGTTTGGATCTTCAATCGAACTTCAGTCGAGCCAAATTTAGCAATTTAGCCATAAACGAGCGACCAAATTGCCAACTGGGAGTCTCATTAAAGGAATGAAATCACTCCGGATGGCGAAAGCGAGGGGCTTCATTAAATATGAGAAATAATTGCAATTATTGAATATTTGCTGAGCTCAGCGGTCGCTTTCTGCAACGTCCGTACGTTCGATGTTCAAAGTTCGGTTCTACCAAAAAGGGGACGTCGAAATCCCCAAATGCGGCTAAAGGACATCATCATCTTTTGAGGCGGCATCGCCATCTATGGAGCTACCCACGCTCAGCTCGGCTCGGCTCGACTAGCTGGCTTAGCCCCTCCAGAAACAGAAACAGAAACAGAAACCGACATCTCCGAACCCAACATGGTCTAAGCATTTGCATTTTTCATCCACGCCACACAGCCCCTCAGTTGCTCAGTTGCTCAGTTTCTTAGTTTGTTTGTCAGACTCATTTGAATGCAGTTGCTATTTATGTTTTATGCTAAAGGGGCAGACGACCAAGAGGAAGATAACCAGCGACTGGCCAAAAGAGTCCACTAAAGGTGCTGCACTGAAAGAAATCGCTGTAAAAAAAGATTTTTTTAACATTAATTGATGATCGAAGTGGGATTTAGTTTATACCTATGAAATCTCCTATTAGGCAAGTTAGGACGCTTTTTCTGTCAGTGCTCTGACTCTATTCGCTTTTTTCGCCTGTTAAGGCAGTGAGGCCAAAATCGACTCTGCCTTTGACTCCGATGTTGGCCAAAGCCAAAGCCAAAGTCAAGTTAAGCCGAACTACAAACC